GGGAGTGGCCACCGCACTCCAGTCTGGGCGACAGAGTGAGACTCCAACTCAAAAAATAAAAAAGAATTTAAGTGAAAAGAAAAAATAAAGAGATGCTGCTATTGAAATTTTTGAATAATACCGGTGTCCTTAATTTCTATCTTTCTTCCTAATGCTGATGTAGAAGGATTACTCCCATATCTGGGATTGTTGCCATCACTACTTAAGGGTTCTCTTTGAAAGAAAGTATACCCTGACCATCACCAATCACTTTACCCCTCCATTTTAACATTTTTTAAACAATAAAACTAGTTTTGTAAACATATTTTTCCAGTTGTTGCTCAAGTGATGCAAGATTATTATGACAATTGGAAATTCAAATGACTATTCTAAATAGCAACTCCCAAGGTTAAATTATTGGCCAAGACCTTTTTTCACTACTCTAATAAGAAACACTTCTTTTATCAAAAGATTCTTGTCACTTTAATTTACTAAATATTTATTATGTGCACCTTCTTCTAAACACGATGGGGATTATAGCAATAGATGAGATTCAGATCCTGCCCTCAGCAGCTGTTTGATCTATTAGACAGATGGTGCTAGTCAGACAAATATGCAAATAACCTCAAGTACATGCAAAATGTAATAAATGCAATGGGTAAGGCAGGAAAGACTACAGGGACTTGAAAAGGGACCTGTTATATCTAATTAAAATACTTAAGAAAGGTTTCTTATAAAGCAATGATCTTCAGCCTTGGCTTCTCACTAGTATCATCCTGGGAGCTTTAAGACACCTTGATGACCAGACTTCACAGATCAAATAAATCAGAATATCTCATGCAAGTGGCCTGAATATCGGGATTTTAAAAAACTCTCTGGGTGATTCCAGTGTGCAGCAAACAAGGATTTGAAAATCATTGCTGTAAAGGGCAGGGGTGAGGAAGAAATAGTTAGAATTGAACAACAGATAAGGTTTCTTCAACTGAAGGGAGATACAAGCATTTAGAAGAATCGTCACCTCCATATAGCCCATTTCTTGTATTTTCTCTTTCTTTCTTTCTTTTTTAGCTAATTTATTTTCATTCTCCAAACCTCAGCTCAGTTATAACATTCCTTTGAAAGCTTTTCCTGACCCCCCGATGATGATAATAGTATCTTAATAATGGTAATAAAGCTGACACTTTTTTATAGCCCTTGCTATATGCCAAGTATCATTCTAAGCACATTAAATACATTTCAATATTTAATCCTCCCAATAACACTAGGAGATAGATAATGTTTTTAGTCCCACTTTGCTTGAGAGGAGGGTAAATAACTTGCCAAGATTACAAACTAAGAAGTGGCAGAGTTGGGATTCAAATATCTTGACTCCAGAATCCATGGTCTCAAACACAACCAACTCTAGTTTGATGTTCCTTATCAAGCCTCCCATAGAACCCATGGATTCTTCAATCATACCATGAAACACATTACATTGTAAATGTTTATCAGATTTTTCTCTTCCACTACTCATTTTTTCAATATACAATTATTGAATACATTCTCTGCTAGAAAATGTGCTTGATTCCAAAAATTCCAAGTTACATATATCCTATTTCATTTGTCAAGGAATTTTGGTCTAGAGCAGAGGTTAGCAAATTATGATTGACAGGCCAAATCATGCTGGCCATCTGTTTTTGTCAATAAAGTTTTATTGAGCCACGGCCATGCTCACTGGTTTATGTAATATCTATAGCTGCTTTCATGCTGTAAAAGCAGGGTGGAATAGTTAGGACACAGACCATCTGGCTGCAATGCTTAAAAAATTTGGCTTTTTGTCTTTAAAAAAATTTGTCAATCTCTAGTCTAGAAAATAAGACAAATAAGAAAATCATCACTGGTTATCCAAAGAGGTGTATGCTAGGGTGCCAAAGACACTGTGGTAACATAAAAACAAGAAACCTATGCCGTGGTCAGTGACTCAGCCTGTCATCCCAGCACTGTGGGAGGCTGAGGTGAGGGGATTGCCTGAGCTCATGAGTTCAAGACCAGCCCGGGCAACTTGGCAAGGCCTTGTTTCTACAATAAATTTTTAAAAATTAACTGGCCATGGTAGCGTGTGCCTGTAGTTCCAGCTTCTTGGAAGGCTGAGGCAGAAGGATTGCCAGAGCCCAGTGGGTGGATGCTGGGGTGGCCGTGAGCATGCCATAGCGCTCCAGCCTGGGCAACAGAGCGAGACTCCAACTCAAACACACACACACACACACACACACACACACACACACACACACACACACACACACACGAAATCTAGATTAGGTTAGAGGGTCAGCAAAAGTGTTCTTTATGGCATGATAGGTTAGCAAATTTTAGAAGGCTGATTAGAATTAATTAGACAAAGAAGATCAAGCTGTCCCGTCAGTAAGACCAGAAAGGTAAGTTCAACAGTGATTCAAGGAGCTAGAGTAATGGCAATAGGGATAGCAGAAAAGTAGAGACGTTTATACAATGTTTAGTAGATAGATGTCAGCAACAGACTTTATGAAGTTGTATCTTTGCTTTCTTGATTCTCGCACCAACACAGCTAGCAGAACATGTAGCTGGAACTCACTAAACATTTGTTAACCAAGATTAATTCTTAAGAACATTTACTTAATAAGGGAGAAAATATGTTGCTTCTATTCGTCCTTAAAATAATTGAATTTGATTTTTTTCTCACTTACTATCCAAGAGTAAAAAAGGACCACTTTTTAAATTATCTTCAGTTGTGTACCTATACATAACTATTAACAACATAGTTGTACAATAGACTGTACCTGGAAAATTCATGGGCAGTTCAAATGGTTGTGGAGACTCACAACCTTCCATGTGCTCACAAGTTTCAGCTATGATCTTCTTAATTTTGAGACCAGTAATTTTAATCACTTCTCCTGTTGACAGACAGCATTCATTTCCAAACATTTCATAGATAGATCCTAAAAAGAAAGAAAAGTGAGGAAGAACAGCTATTAAAAAAAATTAAACAGTGAAGAGCTAAGTAGAGTCAGAAGTCTCGTGTGAAGTGTTTTCACTCAGTTTCTCTCTTAGCTACCTGCTAAAAAGGAATGTAATCAAACTTGGCAAAATGTACAGCATGTACCAAGGAAAATATTAGATTTTCACTTTAACCACTGGGTCACACATAAACAATCTTATTTTCGTTATTATTGCAAATTGAGTTTATGGTTTCCTTGGCACTTTTAGCTCATCTTTCCAAAGCCAAGCAACAAACATGTCTTCTACTACTGAGATTTCTGATCTGTTTTTGCTGGATCACAGAATTGGGCTCACACAACTCAACAGTTATCTAAATAAGGAGCGCAAACAAGGTTATAATACAATCTAAGATTTAGAAACACAAGTTCTGCAAGCCAGGGCTTTATATTAAGAGGGTCATATTTATTTATTACATCCGGTTCTCTTCACGATCGTGAATATAAGACTTTTGTCCATTTTTAACTCTTGGTTTTGACAAGCTGGAAACAGTTCCCAGTGTCTTTATGGCAATAGAGGGCAGACCGACCCCGATAAACTGAAAAGCTCCATTTTAGTCAGAATTTCGGTCTCCTTCCTGACAAGCCTTTTATCTCAGGTGCTAAAGTTAAACTTTTCATTCATTTGTTTTCTTTTTATATTCCCTGGTGGCAGGACAGTGAGCAGTAAAATAACCAGAAGATCAGCAATGAAAGGAGCAGAGGCAAAAATTCTGGATGATCTACCCCTCGTGAAAAGGGAACAACCCCAAACCATATCTCTGGCATAGTATTGCTTTCTCGTTGAACAGTAGAAGAAAGGTTGATATAAATAAACATTACAGAGCCGTGGGCTTTTAAATACATCAGTTTTTCCTTACATTTAAGATGGTTTATATTCTTTTTGCCACACTAAAGGCAAAGTATATGAGCAACAAGATTTGGGGGGTTTTGGGGGGTTTTTTTTTTTGCTTGTTTTCTGAATTTTTCTCTATTGTATCACATCCTCATAGAAATAGAATCTTTCCTGATATATAGCAGGCATCTAAAACATGTTTATGGCATCAGTCATTATTAAGCCTGACATCCAATCTAGCTCTAAACAACTCCGTGATCATATCAGAGTTCCAACAGGTAATGGGGCACACTCAAATTAGAGTCACTTGAGGGGATTCGCACAGAGGCCATTTAAATAGAGACACAGCCCATTCTAGGCATCCCAAGAAAATAAAGGTTCGGATCTCACTCATCTCCCAAGTTACCCCATTAGGAACAGTCCACCAGAAGTCAGAGGACAGGAGAGCTGCTGTCCCATAGAAATCAGCCTCCTAAGCAGAGTAAAAATGAAAGCCCAGCACACCCGCATGACTCTCCATGACTTAACAAGGAACACTTTTGCAGACAAGCTCATCTATCTGTTTCTCAAGCTTTGAGCATATATTTCCACAACCCCCTCCTTTTCTCATGTGAGTCCCTTAACTACATATGTGCTCATACTTTCATTAACTTTAATAGGCATAGTGTTATCAGCAGTCTCAAGTTCTTTGTGGAACAAACTGAGGTATTAAAAAATACTAATAAATCCACAGTGACATTTTCTTCCAATGAACTTAGTCTGGTTATTTGCTATGATCCTCCTTTGGCAATTAATCACATACTAACGTTTTACATCTTTAGTATTATCTCACCCGGTACTTAACTTTTTATGAGTTTAGGTTTTATTGTTCCCAATTCAATCTTAAACTTCATGAGAAGACATATTACATTATATTTTTGCATGATTACAACACATCAGTCTCTCTTCTTCATTCATCTAGCAAACTTTAATCAAAAAAACTACTATGTTGGTGATTGGCTTTAGGTATGGTGATTGGCAATGGGTACAAGAGATAAAATGCACCATCTCTTTCCCCCAGAAACACCGTCATAAAGGAAAGGAACAAGTAAACAGACAATCACAACATGTTAGAGAAAGCTAAAATAAAGGAAATACAGGGCATTGTGGGAGCATATCGGAGACATTTAATTAAGCAATTACTCTGGAAAGAGATTAGGGAAGGATTCCTGGAGTATCTGACAACTAATCTGTGTTTTAAAGGAAGGATCAGATGATACCAGGAGAGGCAGAGGAAATAGTATTTAAAAGGTGCAGTAAGTCCCCTACATACAAACCTTCAAGTTGCAAACTTTCAAAGATGTGAACATGCGTTCACATGTCCAGTCTCCTATTGCTGACAATCCTTCAGCTTTGTAATCTCCCAATTCCTCTCCCTCTCATCAGTAACTCTTCTTTCCTGTTCACTCAATCTCAGTCCTTTTACACAAGCTGTTGTACTGTACTGTTCTAGGTACTATACTGTAAGATTAAAAATGCTTTATTTTGTTTGTTTTTATGTATTATTTGTGTGAAAAGTATTATAAACCTATTACAGTACAGTACTACATAGCCGACTGCGTCAGTTAGGTACTTAGGCTAACTTTGTTAGATTTAAAACAAACTGGAGTTATGAACGTGCTCTCAGAACAGAACTAATTTGTATATTGCGGACTTCCTGTACCAAGATGTGAAAGAGGCTGATACATTCTGGAAATTTCAAAAGTAGTTTGTTATGTCTAAAATATGAAATAAGGCCAAGGCATGATGACTTACACCTGTAATCCCAGTGCTTTGGGACAACTGCTTGAACTCAGGGGTTCAAAAACTTTCTGGGAAACATGGGAAGACCATGTACGTCTATATCTCTCTCTCTCTCTCTCTCTCTCTCTCTCTCTCACACACACACACACACACACACACACACACACATATTTAAATTAGGCTGGTGTAGTTATGAACACCTGTAGTCCCAGCTACTCCAGATGCTGAGGCAGGAGAATCGTTTGAGTACAGGAATTTGAGGCTGCAGTGAGCTATGATTGTACCACTGCACTCCAGCCTGGGTGACACAGAGAGACCTTGTCACAATAAAATGGAAGGAAAGGAGGGAGAGAGGGAGGGAGGAATTAAAAAAAGAATAGGTAAGAAAGGAGTCTAGAGCAATAGAGGGGCTCCAGAGCACACAGAGTGTTTATGAAATTACCGATAAACCAAAAGGTCATTCAAAGTCTGAAGACATTTCAAAGTCAGAGAACCTGTTTTCAGGTCTAGAAACAAATTTCATAAGAGGCCATTGGTACTGTAGGAGTTTGCTATCCAAACGATGGTCCATTGTATCACCTGGGAGCTTGTGAGACTCTCAGCCAGAACCCAGATCTGCTGAAACAGAAGCTGCATTTTTAACAAGATCCCCAGATAATCTGCAAGTACATTAGGGCTCCTAAAGCATGGGTCTAGGCAACAAATGGATAACAAACAGGTCTCTGTTTTGATATTGTTGCAAAACTAACAGAAAGGGAGAATGTGCCATGCAGAGGAAGCACTGGGTATCGTTGACATGGAAGATACTGTAAGTGGGAACAAGGAAAGGGAAAGATTTTACATAGGAAAGTGACATGGTAAGAGTTGTCTTGTCACATGAAATAGAATGTAATTTAACCTAACCCATTTCAGCTGGGTTAAGTTAGTTGGGCTTAATTTCAATACAATGGCTATCTTATTGTAGATACAATGTATATCAAACTGGCTGACTTGGAAAGCCACCTTTCTTTCAAAGGTTCAATTGGAATTCAAAATGAAGAGATACATTTGTGTGAGATTACATATCAATTCACAGGGAATAGAAGTCAGAGAATTCTATGAAGAGAAAATTCTGTGAGTTTTAGTCACCACAAGAAAGCTTTTGACTCTCCAGTCTCTTTCCAAGCATTTCGCTTCTTTTGGGGGGAAAAATTAGTATTTTCAGTCACGTAAGGAAGAGGACCTCATGCAAATGCTAATCTTTAACACTTCTCTTTAGCATTTTGTGACTTCCAATTTTCTCTAGCCAAGAAAGCTGTTAACTCACTTTTAATAAAGAGTGTTCAAAGATGTTCAGCACTAGAAAGTTATGATAGGTGACAGGGTCATATAACAAATCTCAAATCCCTCAAACTGGAAATCTTCTTGTACTCCATTATCACCGACGTCATGCCTCTTAAAATATATTTCTTCTTAGTGATAATATAAAATGGTGAGTTTTTAAAATAGCCAACTTTTGTAATTTCAGAACAAACACATAATATGTGTAATTGCATTTTAAAAATTTTCTGAGAAGTGTGCCTGAAATATGTGTGTGTATATATAGACATACATATTAAAATGGTTCTCATTTCATTCTCACCACAAAACATGCATTTTGAATATGCAAATCTCAGATCTATTAAATCTTTACAGACTGATTCTTTCCAAGTCAGAGCATATGTATTCAGGATAATGCCAAACATCAGAGAAAGCCAGAACAAAGCAGCCTGTTTTCAGTGATCAAACATCGCCCCTGAAGGCTGTAATGAAAGAGCCATGTGCCTTTGAAATCACCTTTTCTGTAATGCTACTTTGCTCAATAAAAACGACACATTAATATCCTTTTATGAGCTCATCCCTTGTTTGACAATCCACATAAGCAATGCTATGATCCCATCAGAAAGCCAAAACAATTGGTTCAATAGATTTTCTTCTATCTTCCTGCAAAGTTAAAAAGGTGTAGCAGTCAGGAAAGGGGAAACGATACTGGAGGTTTTTTCCCCTTTACTTAAATGCACGCTCCTCCTTCCAAGCTTCTCCCCACCACTATATTTGGCCACTCATTCCCTGACCTCTTCATCAACTTGTCAAAGTTCAACCAATTCTAAACATTCAGCTCAAATTCATCATTTTCTTCAAAGCCTTCCTTGATTCTCCCACCTAAGTAAGAACTAATTCTCTGCTCTGCTAGCAGTTTTTGTATGTCTTCATTACAGCCTTTTTGTTATTACTATCACTGCCTGCTATTAGGATGTTATTTTCTGACCATGGATATTACATATATTTCAACATTTATTATGAATTG